GAATATATTTACTTCTACAAAAAAAAAAAAAAAAAAAAAAAAAAAAATACGGACGTGAAAGAGCTAGATGATAAATTACCCACAAATAACTTACAAACGGTCGAGAAGGAACACGTATGGTATGTAACGGAGGAATGAAAGATTATCTCGTTGCTCTTCGTGTCTCGTCGCGCTTCCGTCGCTGCCAGATTAGGAGGCAAAGAAATATGTCTACGAACTTAAACTGTCAGGCCACGTATTAGCGGACGAGCAACTGTGTGCAACTCTTGGAAGCTTCATCTTGGCCTTAATCAACGCCAAACTGCCGCTACCGTAGCGTAGAGAAAGGGATGCCCGACGTTCCTGAAGAATAGTTCGACGAACTTGCCCCTACCGACGAAGTCGATACACCGACGAGACGACGAGTCCAACTTCCGAGCCAACTCCGCGCCTTTCCCGATCCACTTCCGCCATCCGCCGTCGACTTGAAGGCGCTTTTATTAATTTTCTTGTAGACTTACTTTAATTGCGTTAAGATAGTTACGGTAAAATACCGGAACGAATGACGAGTAAGAGTTTATATCCCACTTACTTATGAGCGTACCTCGGTAAAAAGTCTTTTTAAGTAGCGCGCTCGTATCAGTCCCCCCAGCGGGAAATGACGATGTCATGAGAAAAGCCGAGTGGGAACTTTTTTTTTTTTTTTTTTCAGTATACGATATGGATAAAAGCTGTAATTTATTTTAATAGTCGATACTGGAAAATATAGTAGCGAGAAATGTAGGGTGTTTTTTTTTCTTTTTTTTTTTTTCTGAATTAACTTCGCGAGAGCAAATAAATGACAGAATCTTCTTCTCCGTTTAATGTCAAGTCCGGAATATCACATAAACTGAATTTTAACCAGACATACATGCGGTATTTTGATTCTTTAAATCTTTTTCTTGTTACACCGCATAAAATTGTAAATAAAAGTCTATCCTGATTTTTGATACGAGTTGTTTAAATTAAGCTTTAACATTTCACTAATATTTTTCGTATGACTCTTATGTAATAATTTGCAGAAATACGTGATCGGGCCATTTGATCGTAAGACGTACACATATGATCGTTATATGCCGCTCATTTTCATCGGCGGTGTACCACGATCAGGTACAACCCTAATGCGTGCCATGTTGGACGCGCACCCTGACGTGAGGTAAATACCACAGTATCGTTTATAGAGATCTAGCCGTCGGAATAAATTAATAAAATTAAGTAGATAAAATTAAGTATTTAGAAAGAGCAATAAAAATAGATGTCGGTGTTCGTAGGTTTGTTTGTCTTAATTTGATTTTCTGATACATTTGTCTTTGGAATAACATTTAGGATATGTTTATAAATGTTTATCTCCTGATTCTGCAGAAGAAAGTGGAAAAAATTTATATACGCGATCATTCGCATAACAAAATAAAATTTTGTTAATGATGAACCAAGACAAGATCCATGTATTCTTGACGATATATATTCCAAAAATTTTGAAATATACGATAACGTATAATTATAGAGAAATTTATCCTAAAATTCAACGCGAATTGCAGATCGAATCGGTCGAATATTTTACGAGCATTTTGTTCCAGGTGCGGACAAGAGACCAGAGTCATACCGCGAATTCTTCAGATGAAGATGCACTGGTCCAAGTCCGAGAAGGAAAATGTACGACTTACCGAGGCGGGGATCTCAAAAGAGGTAAGTGCATGTTCTGAAAAGCGCGGTTCTAGGAGAGGAGCGTATATTTCAGCACTGGGACAGATCTGAATAATTTAAGTATCGTCCAACGAAAAAAATTCACAGTAAGAGAAAGTTTTATCCTATTTTATCGAGAATGGTACACCTCTCTCACGCGCTTGAAAAATGCGAGCTGCACTCCGGAAACTTCTCGCTGTAGCGCGGCATATTTATTCAGACGCTTACCCCCCCCCCTCCTCTCGCCCGGTATTTAAATGCGCGTGCCTCTCCCTCAAAACTCGTTGAAGGTTTAAAAATTTGCGTGCGTAGTTTGAATAATTTCATCACCGCGACGCGGAATTATAAACTTTGCTCTCCCTCGTGTAAATCGCAGGCTGCTCGTGTTAGTCTACGAGCTGATGTAAGGGATCGAGAGTCCCGTTCTCTTCTCCAAACTCGTCTCCCATGAATAATTAAAATTAAGATTTACTCGATATACGAAACTTTGAGAGAGGCGCGTCCTTACGGTCGCGCGAACGTATCCGATATGGAAACGGAGATGGATCCCGGAATATGGGGCCTCGGAATATCGAGAGATGCGCTATTTTTCTTTCAGGTGATAGACAGCGCGATAGCGGCGTTCTGCTTGGAAATAATAGCGCGACACGCCGAGCCCGCGCCGAGATTGTGCAACAAGGATCCACTCACCCTGAAGATGGGCTCGTACATCCTCGAGCTCTTCCCGAACGCGAAATTTATATTCATGGTGCGCGACGGGCGTGCGACGGTGCATTCCATCATATCCAGGAAGGTAAAAAAAAGCTTCGCGTAACACATTACATTATCTTTTTTTCTCCAAAAAGTATTTGGTTGTTCGCCGACAGTTACGTGATTCCTCCATCAAATCACGTAACTTTTAAATGGAACTATTAATCGTTATTTTTTTTTTTTTTTTTTTTTTTTCGTAACTGAGAAACTTTTCGCTATTAGTCGCTTCTAGCAATTTTTCCAACGTTAATATCACGGCTCATATAACGCTTTTCTAAATGTAGAATGCAAGATTTTTTAGGTAAAAAAAGTATGCGCTCAATACAATGAGACAAGACAATTTTCCAAATAAATATCTCCTCTCTTTATAGGTCACAATAACGGGTTTCGACTTATCGTCCTACCGGCAGTCCCTCATCAGGTGGAATCACGCAATTTCCGTAATGTACGGCCAATGCAAGGAATTAGGACCTGAGAGATGTCTGATGGTCCCTTACGAGCAGTTGGTGCTGCATCCACGCCAATGGATGAAGAAGATATTAAACTATCTGGACGTGCCGTGGAATGAGTCCGTCATGCATCACGAGGAATTCATTAACAAACCTGGCGGAGTACCTCTGAGCAAGTAAGCGAGAAGAGCCGAGGAACAGAGCGCATTTAAATCTAACATCTATCGCAGAATTCGAGAGCGAGATGTACTCTGAGGCAGACGTTAAAGCACTGCGCTACGCCACGATATAATGTTGTATATTATTAATTTCGACATAATATAATAATGTAATAACGTAATAATAATCCGAAAACAACAATGTAATGAAATAACGCTCGGCATTATTAATAATAATGTCGGAATAACAATAACGCGGCAAATTAATTTTTTGCGTCATCAACATTGAACACTAATATTTACAATGCGATAAAATTACGTTCCGCTGAAATGATGTGAAAGCGAAATTAATAGATGTGCGTACGTGGAATAACGTTTCGCGTTTTGTTAATATCGAAATCACAAATCATTCGATGTGCAGGGTCGAGAGGTCATCGGATCAAATCATAAAGCCTGTAAATCTGGCGGCACTGACCAAATGGGTCGGTAACATTCCCGAGGACGTGGTGAGGGAGATGGCGGACATCGCACCGATGCTCTCTGTGCTCGGCTACGATCCTTACGCGAATCCACCCGTCTATGGCGCACCGGACAGTTTAGTTAGCGACAACACCAGACGGTACGTGCCCATTTGTTATGTTGTCGCATGGCTGTTACAGTTGTTACATACAGAATTGTTGTCGCGAGCGAACAATTATACTCGGTGCACAGTGAACCAAAATTAAACCGAAATGGGACAAAATTATTTTAGCATATTGCAGAGATACAAAGCGTGCGCGAAATAGATATCGCAGTTGGGGGTTTCAAACTAATTGAGAGTTTCTAAACGGGAAATTAGTAACCGTTCAAACTGAAACAATCTCCGCCATTGTGCAAATTTTTCTCACTATTCGTATCAGAAAATATTTATCAACTAATCGCTATTTATTTGGATATCAATATTCTATAAAATAGTTTTCTCTGATGTAATTATACTAAAAAGTATTTTTCGCAAGAGAAAATAACGTCTATGTTATAAAATTATTGGTGTGATTTCTGGACGAATGAAATAGCCAATTAAAACTTGAATAAATACATATCATGTTTCAGAATTTGAAAAAGATCCTTCTATTCATATTACTTTACATCGTCATAACTATTCACATATATTCAATTCCTCTATTTTAGGGTGTTGGCTGGCGAAAAACTTTGGGAAGAGAAGGCACGGGCGTATCATCTATCGCACAGACCGATTGAGAACAGCAACGAGGAAGCTGCTTCCAGCACGGCCCCAGTCGCGTGACCCCGCGTGATTCTCATAGGCACGAGCGACACATAACCAACTACCACCCTAAATCCCCATCGATTTAGGATTTCCGTGTGTGCAGAGAATATCCCCTTGTACTTTCAAAGTAAACTCGGTCCCGCACGACGCCGAGTTGCGTCGTCGATTTAATCGCCCACGTTGTATTTTCTCAATTCTTCAGCGTTATTCCAGCGACGATGGATTAATCGATCATTCCTCTCGACGCTTATTCATTCGCATCAGGACTGCGTTTCACGATGCCAGATGACGTAATATATTAGACCGTGACTAGAAAATAAAGAATGCACCAGAGATAAGTGACTAAACTTCGAAATAATTTACAATTTATGAAGCATCGACGTGAAGCATTTCTCTTGCATATACATTTCTTTAAAATGGAACGAAGAGTAAGGTTCGTTTTAAGATTAAATTTCTATGAGCCTTCTCGATATTCTCGCAATACCAATATCGACGAAAAGAGTTTGTAAAGGTAGTATTTCTGGATATATTACCGTATGACATTTTCTTTCTCAACACGAGTAGAATAAATTTTTCAATGCTGTCGCTTATTTCTGGAACATATTGTTTTATCGCGATAATTATATATAATAAATGTATATAATAAATAGCGATAATATTTTCTTTAATAGTAAAAATATTGATTTTGAAAAGGTTCGTTGCAAAAAACAAAACAAATCTATAATTCATAGAGTTTCTGTTTGGAATATTTTTATCTTAAATATATTTAATACTTAAGACGGATTCATAAATTATTGCTATAAATTCGTTATTACATTAACCTTTTTATATATATATATATATATATTTTTTTTTTAAATATTTTATTCTATGTTAATGCCAATTATTAATTTTAAATTGAAAAGAAAAATCTAAAAAGAAATCTTTTCATCACTTAAATTAATATTGTAGATGGTTTTTTTATCATGTCAGCATTACAAATGTCGTAATGTTATGAAGTAGACTTCAAATTGACAGTACCATCATTGTCTACTATCTATCATCGAGAACAATAAGCGTGAGATACGTCGCGATAATACGTCTAGCGATAAAACAATTTTGAACATTATGTAGTATGAAGGATCGAACTCGTTATCATTTCGACGAATTGAATTCCCGACAACAGAAAAATGTGAATGGTCACGTTTCTGTGTTAATCGTTTTGTCACGTAGCTAATGAAAGGATTCATTTTCATGTATTTGTATACATAGAAAGTTAAGTTTTGTGAAATCGGGTTCGACCTTTTAAGTAACCGATTTATTAAATGACCAACAATGGCCAGTGATTAGAGAGTTTTAGAATATTTAGCGACAAAAACTTCAGACGTGCAAAAAATGGAAGACTAGAAACTTCTCTTTTTTCTTTCCCTTGTAAAGTTTGGTTAATCGGATTATAGTCCAATAGTCCGTGAAATCTTTCTAGAAACATTCAACGTTAAATACAATTGTCCGATACACGAGGCAGAATTATGCAGAAATGAGTTTATCTGCCAAAGTAATAATTTTGAATAAATTAAATCTAAAACTCTGAGTTTTATATTACCGACTCAACAGTATACAGATATGATACACTGAGTATATACATTTACATTTTTTCTTTTTATCTTTCTGGGTAAACTCATGCATAACACATCCAATTAACGTATGCATGTCTACAAAATTCGCATACTGGCGTTTTTACCCTCCGTATCTCCATCGAATCGTTTTCATATCGCTTATAACGAATTCGCGTGAAATTAAATAAAATTTTTCATATTCGCCATATTTTTTAAATAGCATAGTTTATCTGTGGCGTTTTTAAGTAATCCATTACGGTTACGATATCTATTAAAAATAAATTGCAAATATATTTCTGATATATATGATATCAAATATTAATATTAGATTGATATCAAAGTTTTGTCATCAAATAAAATTGAAATTCAATTGTTAAAATTATTTAGTAATATTGATTAAAATTAATCATTTTTCGCAAAATTAAAAATGTTTCTTACTAAGTTTATCTTTTTAAAAAAATTTAAGTTTAATGGAAAGATGACAAAGTTTTCGAATTAATCTAATATTATATAACATGTATAAATAATATTATATAACATGTGTAAATAATATCCGTGAACTCGATTGCGATTTAACAGCGACACATTTCCGTTGTTCATGGATTCTCCTGACAGTTATACTATAATTTTAAGCAAGGAACGATGCCGTGCGCTATGTCTGTAAACGACAGCAGACCCGCATAGGCTTGTCAAATCTATATGTCGAATTGTGCTATTAAATTATTTTAATATTACAGGCTCTGTTGTATCTGATCCATATTCCTTAATTCATTTCTAATTGGCGAGAAAAGGAGCCTAAAATTTATCAAAATACTATATTTATATAAAGTTAAGGTAATATATTTTAGATCGTTATTTTGATTATTAATTACGAAAAAGACTTAATTTCTTTTAAATTTAATTTTGCAGAAAAAAGATGAAATAATTAAGTTAGTATATGAAAAATGAATATTTTTTGATATGTGAGAATATTTTTAAC